AAATGAAACTACAGGGTAGTAAGCTCAAATGAACAATCGATGCTAGAGTCTGAGTGCAATTAACACTTTTTTTAACGATCTTTGCAAGTTTCCATGCTCTGCAGCCGTGATAATGATGTCTGCATGGTTTTGATTACAATTGATATGAAATATGTACTTGAAAACTCTGAATACTGTTCGGTTGAGATTCTTAAAAAGTAACCTATCAATTTAGAATTTATTTGATAAAAGTAAATCTTCAAGATTAGAATTGTCAACTATCAGAGATTTAGAAAAGATTGTAATCTTACTTGACGTGCATTATTAGATTCTCTAATTATATATAGTTGTTGTGCGCAGCTGAATCCGAAACGAATACAACCAACCTTAGATAGAATCACAACCAACAGTTAAAACAAGAACCAACAATGTAAGACATCAAATTTACGTGGTTCGGCAAGTTGCCTACATCCACGGGACAAGGAGGGGATGATTTTCACTATTAGAGAGAGAGTATAAATAGAGATTACAAAATTCACTCAAAACTCAAAATTAATCTCTCAAACAAAAACTCTCAAATCTCTCACCAATTCTCCCAAATACACAGCTCAAAAGCCTTTTTAATTTGGCTTAAAGAAACCCTAAAAACGTGTTCCTATTTATATCAAATATAAAACCCAAACAAATTAGGAAACCAAGCACATGCCCATACCCGAGTCGTGGTCGACTGCACTTGACGCCGCGGTCGATCGGACAGAATGACAGAAACTCAAAAATCGATTACAGGGTTCGTGGTCGACCGCACTTGACGCCACAATCGACCGACCAAAAATCCGAAAATGCACCATGTAGTGGGCACGTTTCCAGTCGACCGCATATGTTGCCGCGGTCGACCGGAAAGTGTCTTCTGCTTTGTTTTTTTCCTGAACTTATTCGCTATTTCTTCAATAGTAACCCATCTACGAAACATTATAATAAAAAAGGGCGAAAACCCCGTTGCAGGCGCTCAAAGAACAAGGTCAATGGCAAAGAATAAAACCTTCAACCGATCACAAGAAGAAGACGAACCCAAGAAGAAACACAGAATGATCACCAGAAGAGACAAGAGCAATGTCCAGGCGTTTATTTGTTTTTTCTAGTAACAAGTTAAATTGATTGTAATTATAAATATGGTATACAATTGAAATATTTTGTGTTACAGTCTGAAATAAAAACTGAAACATGTGGTTCATGCGTTCTACTACCATTTGACATTGTGGCTGAGGTACTCTCAAGATTACCAGCAAAGTCTATTGCGAAATTCCGTTGCGTCTGCAAGCAATGGATTTCTTTAACTTACGATCCATGTTTCTTAAAAGCACAAAACGAGAGTTCTGTAAACCACATGATTATCGATAAATGTGTTCTTTCTCGAGAAATCAAGTTGCGATGTCGAAGATAGAAAACAGTCTTTGGAGATTTCCCACAAATGTAACCTCGAGAGAAAGTATTATACGTTATCAAATATTGTTGATGGTTTGACTTGTGCTTTTAGTCATCGTGCTATTAAATCTGATACATGTTTTATTAAATCCTACGACTTGGGAGCTTCAGGGGCATCCAGAAAACAATCTTCGGCGTCAAGAAAGCTTTCTATATGAAAGTTTTGTTCTAGGTGTCGACATGACTATGGGGCAATACAAGGTGGTTAGATTTTTTTCGTCGTTTTAGAAAGCTGTGTGTTTATTGTCAGATCAGAAAAGTAGGCTATATAGGCAATTTCTACTTCATGGAGCCCTCCACCAAATTGGATATGGAGCAAGGAATAATCGTCAAGAAAAAGCAAACGCTGCTCTTTTCACATTCAATATCAAAGACGAGAAGTTTGGTTCAGCAATTTCGATCCCTTATACCTCATTCGGTCGTATGTCTTTCTCCTGTTGTAATGAGTTCTGGAGGAACCTTTTGCCTTACATTCATGGAGCCGCATCGGAAGACAAAAAAAAAAAATAAAAAATACTTGAATATCCAAGTTAAATTCCATATCAGTAGCTTTGCCAAGTGTACACAACAAGTTTTATGTTACAGAAA